GTGACATCGAGGTGAGCTGGGGCTGGGCTGGGCATTGCAGGAAGGACTGGAGAGCTTCCCTCCCTTCCGATGCACTGATTCCTGTAAGGGGGGAAGGGCTTGGACAAGGAGAGGAGGCAGAAAAGTAGCCCGGGCAGGAGCTTTTGGAAGGGAATCTCAATCTTATCTTAACTCCAATAAGTTTGCTATTTTAAGGTGGCTCTGAGATCCCTTGAGCAAATCAAAGCCTAGCTGCTGTCACCCATATCTGTTGCAGTTGGAAACTCTTTCCATGTGCCTTTGGCTCTGTTTCTACTCATATGCAATATTTATGCTCTAAGATATTGATATGAATCAGAAGCTGAAGTCTTTCCAGTGGTGTTTAGTGGCCCGGTTGGAAAAATGCCATTTCTATTTATAATAAGATGAAGATAAAAATATTAAAATGGATGTGCTCAAATATAGTCAGTTTTGACTCTAGTCCGGATTTTTTTTTTTCCCCCTCTCTCTCTGTTCATCAGAGAACTAACTCACAAAATCCTAAATAATCCTGCTGGGCTATTTTAGATTGCTTTCCCCATAGCACACAAAACAACGAAGCTGATTCCCTTACAACACCTATATGTGGTGGAAAGATTTGGTCAGCAAATAAAAAATACATCTCTGCCTTACGATGCAAGGTTTTCCATTAGTGTCGGTGGCAGGGAAGCCAATGGTTAAATCTCTCCGTACCACGGAGAGCTGCCTGAAGCCAGAGAGAGGAGTTTATGCAGGGCTGTGTGTGGGGCTGCTTGTGTAAAAATAGACGGCAATACATCAATTCCACAGTCTCTGCTGGCCACAATTCATACAGGGGGAGAAAAGCAAGCCGTTTCCTCATAATCTCTGGAGCCTCCAGTGACTAACGGGGGGGACGGAGGACCGCGGCGTGTTTGCATTCAGCACAATGGAATGTTCTCGGAAAGTTTGGGCAACTTGGGGAAAGAAGCTAAACTTTCTGTGGACCGTGATGAGCTGGAGCCCGGTTGCATTGCACGGGGGATCGGAGCTGCTAACAATGAGTCTGGCAGAGAGAGGGCTGCCAGTGCTTCCTCTGGGTAGCTGGGGGCACGTAGGGTGAGGGGGAGGATCGAGTGCCACACGTGATTTGGTTAAATAAGATGTCCATGTGGTGCAGCGATACACATCTAAAGTGCAAATAATTTGGCCGGGGCTGCCTGCGAACGCATTTCTCCTCTCTAGCGAGCCATGCCCTGCGTTCTTAACTCTTTACCGGATTTGCACAAGTGGGCTCGGCTTGCCCTCTCCCGCCCTGGCAGATGGTCCTTGCGGATCCTGCTTGTCCTTATCTTGTCGTGGTTTCTTGGTAAGGTGGGAGAGATCTGGGTGATTCGTATGTCCTGTCGCTCTTCTGAGTCAGGGTTATAAGTTGCTTCAAAGTCCTCATTGTCTTGGAGTAGCCGGAGCGTCCTGTGGCTGGTTGTCTGGCTGCCAGTGTGGGGGCTCAGCTGCTATAGTTTCATTTTTCCATCTTGCCTTATTCCTGATGCTGTTGGGAGTTGATATGGAAATAGGGAGGATTTGTTTTAATCACTGGGATTCCTGCAGTCATTTTCAAGGAAGCGTCAGAACTAATTTAGAACAGGGGCCCTTTTATGTTTTTCCAAAGGAGGTGAGTTCCCGGGCTAAGTGTCCAGCGGTGGATTGAGTTGTCGGGCGGCTGAGACGGGCCAGTCGCCTCTCTGTTGCACGGTAGACAGCAAGCTGCTAGAAGCCTTGCCTTCGCGGCGGCCGCTCTGGGAATCGCCTCGGCCAGTCTAACCTATTACGAGCAGCAGGTAGCAGAAGCAGCTTTCATTTTTTGAATCATTAATGTTTGCTGTCATCCTAAAACGTATTATGCCCTTTTGCACATAATGACAGGACGGCGCAGTGGTTAATAAGGGCCTCTATCACTATAGCTACTTGGAGTCCCCAGTGTTTCACAGTTTAATGAAGGTGATGTACAATAAGGTTACCAAGATTGATAGAGACAATTCACATGACATGCACTCCACGAAGACTGTCATTCTTTACCGCCCCCCGCCCTACTCCCTTGTCCCTGTCCTCACTAATTTTTTTCCTAAGAAGTAAGAATTCTTTTTTCATTAATATAATTAATGTGGCCAAGTCCACTCTTTCTTCTCTCTCTCTTTAAAATTTACCATCAATGGCACAAAAACCTCCGAAAGGTTAATGGAGAATTATACTTAATTATGATGATTCATTATCATCAGTGCAGTTAAGCTAATTTATTGTCTGCTCCTTAACTAAGAGAAAAGTCTGTTGGGGTGAAAAAAACGTACAATAATTAGCCTTTTGTGTTTAGTGACTGCTTTATCCTCTTAAATCTTATTATAAAATTAAGGCTACGGTTGGGAAATAGCTGTCATAGTTGCAAAGAAGCAGTAGAATGTGTCTCTGTAATTGCAATAAAGCACACCTGTTACAGATGTATAGGGAAGCAGTAAATACCAGCATGTCAGATGAGGACAGTTACAGGGCTTGGACTGTTAAGTCTGGCATCATCCAAAGGCCAAATATAAATTAATAACAGGAACACCTGCTACCACTAATGTGTTTTAGATTATCAGAATAATGCCACATTCAGAAACCCTGATTTTATTAGCATGTCAACATTGGCAAGAGCACATGCACATTTTCAACCATAACATAAGAGCAAAAACGAGAGACAAAGAGAGGAAAGGAAAGAAGTGTGTGAATTACAGCCCAGCAAAAGGCCAGAAATTGATCTGGTCTTTTTAATGGTTTTCAAAAGTTACTTACAAAATGCATGTTCCCGAAAGGGTGAAGGGTTTTGAACGAGCCATGCCTAGAGAAGGCAGTGAAGGAGAGAGACAGCAAGAAGTTGCTCACCAATCCGTAGGGCATTCCAGCATTCCAAAGCACGGTTCCTCAGTTGTGCTCTCCACGACAGGAACTTAAGCCAGTTGGAGAGCTCCTGTGTTTCCTACCCTTGTTTTTTTTTTTTTTTTTTTCTGTTTTTGTTGTTTATGCTTTTCTGGTTAAGGACTAGCCCTCAATGCAGTCCTAGTGGGTTTTGCACCGTTGAAAAAAGTTATCCCCTGGTCTCTGGATTGATCGTGCTGTGGAAGAGTTAACACTGTGTGTTTGTCCTCGGAGGATAAGCAACGTGGGCATGTATGGAGGCTGAGAAGTGTTACACCCATAACAGAACTCGAACATTGTACCAGAACAAAATCTTCTCCCCAGCCCGGCCCCCGCTTCCTTATAAACCTAGTCAAGTATACCGATCTGCAACTTGGGGTTACCTCGGGTAATAAAAACAGAATGACCAATAAAATGATAAGGAAAGAGTTTAGGTGGAGGGGCTTGCCCTTTCTTTTTGCATTACCTCTGTGCCCTCAGTTTGGGATCTCACTGGGGCCTGGTGGTCTTAGGGAAGAATTGCAGTCATCTTCAGGCTGCTCCTAGCCTCCCTGTACCAACTGCTGACTCCATTACCCAGTACCTACTTCTCAGCATGGTGCTTATGATCATGCTGCTGCATATGACCTGTGTAATGTAGCCTGCCAGGGATGACAGGGGTGCTCGGGAAAAAAATCTGCATAAAACTTATTTTATTCAAAACCGAAACGTCAAGCGGGATCTTCAGCTTCATGCCCAACTGCTGCCTGGTTGTGAGCAACTCCACAGCATCTCTCCTGACCTTGGAAGGTAGGGCCGTGAGGGTGCCACCTCAGAGTGTGTGCCTGCTGATTTAGACACCTTGGCTTGCAGGTGGATAAAGTCCTGGGGCTCTGGCATCCTCAGGTCCCTGCAGTAGGAAACTTCAGCAGGGTTCTTCACAGTATGCAGTGAGGAAATCAGCAGTCAGATGGCCAATTTGGGGTTAGAAGACCACTTCTTCAATCAAGTGGTCCACTTTTTTTCAAAAAGCCACATTGTGGGACAACTGAAAGGCCACCCTACTCCACGCAAGGAAGTGGAAGACTATTCCAGTCTGAAATAGCCTTGCTTACAAACAGCCCGGCCATAGTATGGGCTATGTTAAACCTCTCAATAGACTGAAATCATGTAAAAACTCCAAAGAAGAAGAGTTCTTTTGAATTCACTTCAGCATAGTTTAGGAATACATAAATGATGAAAAAAAATATAATTGTGGAGTGCTATAGTGGTTTTTCCTTTGTAGATGTCAGGCAATCCCAATATTACGTGCACACACACACACACCCCAACACACATGACTTGCAACTTAAACATAGCGGAAGATGTCAAGATCATATAGAAAAACTTATGACTTTTGTCTCTATCTCAAGGAACTTGTTTTTTGACCTGTTCAAGATGATGTGCTAAAGCTCGTGAAAAGTCAAATTGAGAGTAAAAGATTAAAATAACAATTCAAGAGAACCATAGACAAGTAAAAAGGCTTGCATCACTTGTTGCTAACGGAATTATGTGGATTGCAAAGGTTAAAAAGGGTGTAAATGGGTAAAGTTTTCCTGGTAGAGTTCTTATGCTTTTATTTTTCACTGAGTGATTGTTTATTTTGTTTCTATTATGTGGGATGGCAAATCCAAGGTAAAATCAAGTTTGTATCCTGCCCTCAAGAGATTATACTCAGGGTAGAGTAAAATTTTGCATATGTTTAACCAGAAAACAACTTGAAACTCAAACTCAAGCACTAACCATCAAAAAGGTACAAATTCAGTTGATTGCTAACTGGAAGAATCAGAGAGGGCTTCATGGAAACATGGCACTTACCATGAATTTGGAGGCAGAATTTTGGATGGAATAGATCAGGCACAGTATCCTTTAAGAGCAAAGTAAGTAAAGGAATTTAGGATTTTTTTTTTTTTTTTTTTCTGGTGACTAAAGCCCTGGAAACCAGCTTTGGTGGTGTGGTTGAATTAACCAGGCTTAATTCCTATCACATGCCATTGCAGTTTAATAAATTCCTGCAGTTAATGAAAGCTTTTTTTCCCCCCTGCCTTCTGCAGTGTACCGCTCTGGTTGGTGAAGACCAGCCTCTTTGCCCAGATCTTCCTGAACTTGACCTTTCTGAACTAGACGTGAACGACTTGGATACAGACAGCTTTCTGGGTGGACTCAAGTGGTGCAGTGACCAATCAGAAATAATATCCAATCAGTACAACAATGAGCCTTCAAACATATTTGAGGTAAGGGCATCCCTTGGTCAAAATTAATTTCTCATCGAACTTGGCTTGGGCCACAATATGATTATTGGCCTGAGAGCATAATGCATTCTTACTTCGCCGTCATCAAAAGACTTTTTATCACAGGTAGGCACTTCCGATTTTGTGGAAAAACAATGTTTGCAAAATAAATGGATTTTGTTGTTGTTGTTTTGAGAATTAAGGGGCTAAGGGCCCCCAACAGAGTGCATTAAACTGTGTTGAAATACTAAGGGGGTGGTGAAAGAATTAGTGACAAAGAAGAACAAAAGTCTAAACCTGTTTATTCCTGTCTATTTCCCACAGAAAAGGGCCTAATGTAAATTAATGTGAAATGTAAAAGAATGCGTTTTTTTTTTAAATCCAAGAGATTAGACGTCTACCTTTATTTGCCTCACAAAGTAAGTGAGCAGTTATTCTTATTGTTATTTTGTGATCATACCTCTGATTTCTGTCTGTCATAGAAACTTCTAAACCCAGGTACTCTAATATTTACTTACAAATTAGTAAAAATTCGCTTACCTTTCAATAGTGAAAATTACCTCCCAGGCTCCAGACTCTTATTATAAGCCTACCCTATAATAAGGAATGTTAATCTACTCCTATTAAAGTGTTACTTTGAAAAAAAGTTCTTTCTCACAAGATCAGCACCCGTTTACTTGAAAATAAACGGTTTCTTGTAGGGACAGACATCAAGTGCTCTGGCAAACAAGTTGAAAAAAGATCGTCAAATCAACTACTTTTCAACATCACAGCCATGTACACCTCCGTCATCATCTGGCTTCTTCTCCCTAATATGTGCCAGGCTCCATGCAAAGCACTTGAAGTGTATTTTTTAATCCCACCAGCAGAGACATTTCTTAAACCTCAGTGTATTTGGTTGAAATCCTGAGTCATTAAGAAAGCCAATTTTACAATATTTATTGAGTTTTTCCAGCCCCCAGCACATAAAAGGCACTGAATAAATGTTTATTGAGTCATTAAGAAAACCAATTTTACAATATTTACCGTGGTTTTTCAGCACCCAGCACACAGAAGGTGTTGAATAACTGTGTGTTGACTAATGAGTGAATAGAGACTCTAGTAGGTATTAATAACAGTAATAACGAATGATAACAACAGTGGCCCCCATTTGGAGACCCCCATGCTCTATATGTGTCTTCTCACAGTTCCCTCAGAACAGCCTATTTTTTAGGTACCCTGAGTGTCATTCCCACTTTGCCTATGCAGACATGGAGTCTCAGAGAGGTTAAGTGATTTTCTCCAGGGCACACAGTTGACAAATGAAGACCAGAGAATTGAATCCCAAATTGATTTGACTTCCCAGTCTATCTCACTGATAAAAAACACAGAGTAACAGTGAGGTTGGGTGACCACCATCCTTTACAAAGACGTACCAAGCTGCTGCTTTGCTGAATATATTTAAAAATAGAATGGACTTGTGCCTTTCGGTGTTGGTTGACATGGAAGCAGGGATCTCTGGGGGCGGTGGGGGGAGCCAGGGTGGCTGTAGTTTCTGGCCACAGCTAAGATTTTCTAAGATGTCTGAACAGAGTCTTAAAAGAGCGCTTAAGGCGGGGGAGTCAGGGCTGCGGAGAAGGAGCCCTGAAGGACTGTGGTGTAGTTACACTTCCCAGGCTTCTCAGCCGGGTCTTAGAAAGTTCATGTGAGGACTTGGCTAGTTAGAACTGGTACATTGAACATTCCTCATTCAGTACGCTTGTCAGGCGACAGGCCCGTTTAAGTCATGCTGCATTAAATAAACAGTACTTTAAAAAATGTCATCTCTGGAGACCTCTTATCTAAAAATCGGCTATTCCATGTTGGGTGATTGCCATGCATTTTGCAGATGACGGGTAGGGAATTACTAATTGGTCGGTGGGGTGGGGGGAAGGGAGGGTTGGTCAGTGCCTCCCTGGTGGGCTAGTTTCAAAAACTCCCTTCTTCATGACCTTGTGTCCCCATGTTTCGGTGTTGTGGCCTCTGCATGGGGTACTTCTCGTTTACACCTCTAGGAGACTTGGTTCACCAGCTAGTTATATATAGATGCTTTAATCTGTACGAAGACACCCCTTTTGCTTCCCCGTATCACTTTCTACCACTGATAGAATTGTTTTCAGTGCTCTAAAACACAAGGTTCATTTAATTTAATTTCTCATTAGCTCATTTTAAACCAGTGACTCTCAACGCAGAGCAGTTTTGCCCCTCAAGGGACGTGTAGCAGTGTCTGGAGATGGGTTTGATGTTTAGGAATGAAGGCAAGAGGCTGCTCCTGGCATTTCGTGGGTGGAGACCCAGGGTTGTTGCTAACTAACCCACAGGGCCCAGGACAGCTTCCCACAACAAAGAACTATTCGGCTCTAAAATGACAGCAGTGCTGAGGTTGAGAACCCCTAAAAAAAAAAAAAAAAAGTCACTGAAATTCCCTCTCATGAAACACCGAAGATGGACTGGTCAGCTTTGAGAGAGAAGATAGAGTATTGTTAAGAGACAGGACATGAAGAATCAGAAGCCACAGAGAATTATGGGGATGCCCAGGGCCCTGGGACTGAGATGTCAGGAACTCTCTTAGTGACAGTGAAAGTGACCGTTGAGATAACCTGTAAGAGTTTTCTCTGATGTCACAAACCTCATTCTTCTTCGTCTGTGCAAAAGGTAAGGCCGTATGTGGTAATCCTGTGACTCGGCAGCAGCTGCCCGAGCATTTGCATACAGCCAAAATGCCTCTACTCTTTGCCCTCTAGCGTTAAACTCAGACATCTCTTCTATAACGGGAGGAAAAAAAAAAAAGAAAGTGTGTGTGGAGCATACACTTTGAAAACTGTCTCTCCCTGGGAGAGAGGTCCACGGGCAGCTCAGTAACCCTTCATGGGCCACAGCTTTGCTGGTCTTCCTCCAAAGCTGCCTTCCCCCACCCCCCACCCCCCACCCCCAAAGCCCTTCCCAGAGCTGTGCCTTTAAGCCTCTCCCCGTGGACTTTACCCGTGCTCACTTTCTTCCAGTTCTCAAAGCCCTGCCTCATCACATTTGTGAAGGCCTTGTACTTGAGCAAGCCAAACAGTCACGGTTTCCGCCACCTCTGATCTGCCAATAACAAGCATGATCTACCTCCGATTCCCAGAATGAAATGAGGCCCCAAGCAGTTCAACACTTTCCCTGACTCCAGTAGCACATCGATGGCACCCCTGGAAACTGGCCACAGGATTTCTGAATTCCAATCAAAGCGGAGAGAAAGGGGGTATTTAGAGATACAGATAGGATATAGATAGTCTACGGATAGTAGAGCCAAATTTTAAAACCTTGGGAGTAAATAGAAATTTCTGCCTTGGGCCTCTTTTGTAAATTTGAATCTGAGTTTAATTTTTATTCGACTTTATTTTTTTTTAAGATTTATTTATTTATTTTAGAGAGAGCGAAAGAGCACACGAGCAGGGGGAGGGGCAGGGGGAGGGGCAGAGGGAGAGGGAGAGAATCCCAAGCAGACTCCCTGCTGAACGCGGAGCCTGACTCGGGAATCCATCTCACCATCCTGAGATCATGACCCGAGCCGAAATCAAGAGCCGGCCGCTTCACTGTCTGAGCCACCCAGGTGCCCCTGTTTTTATTTGACTTTAAGAGAAAAGAAGAACGTAATTGAACGTCCCACTTCGGGAAAGAGTGAATTCCTCAGTGGGAGCGAGGTGTGCCAATACGCAATTGTCCACGTTGGTTGAGAAACTGGACACACAAACAACAATCTCTGTTTGCTCAACCTGTGTTGGATGTGTAAATGCAGGTGACTGGGTTTTATTCAGAAGCCACTTAGAAAAACAGGACACAGGCTTTTATAGGTGCAGCCTCCAGTGAATCTGATCCATGTGTCAGGAAAACAGGATACTGTCTCTGAGCTGGTTGGTAGCAAAATTTATGTTTCAGAATATTGCAACATAACTTCCTTCCCTCTCTTGCCTTTGTGCATTGTTTGGAGAAGGAGAATAAAGGAGTGCTTTTATAGCATGGCAGTATGTAAGGATGGGTGGCCCGGGATTAGTTTAAATAGCACACTGGCCCTCTGGTCACTGTGGGCCACCTTGTCCCTGCTTCATTTAAACATCTGCTTTCGATGCCTCCTTGACACACCTGAATGAGCATCTTCCATTCATTTGTCTGTTACTTCTTCTTCTTTTTTTTTTTTTTTTAAGATTTTATTTATTTATTTGACAGAGAGATAGGGAGAGAGGGAACACAAGCAGGGGGAGTGGAAGAGGTTCGAGAAGCAGGCCTCCCGCGGAGCAGGGAGCCCGATGCGGGGCTCGATCCCAGGACCCTGGGATCATGACCTGAGCCGAAGGCAGACGCTTAACGACTGAGCCACCCAGGCGCCCCTTGTCTGTTACTTCTGAATGCAGCCACTGGGGTTCTTTAGAACACGGCAAGTGAGAATATAGTTGTCTCTAGGTCATGATTCATAATACGATCTGAAGTCTGCCTTTGCTAATGGGGAGAGAAGGGCCCACAGCTGCAGCCAACATTCATGTCAGGTGATCACGGGGATGCTCAGTAAGGTCTGATACTGTGGACTTCTGTGGGAGACAAAGCACGGGGTGGTGTCCCGTTATCTATCAGGTGTCCTGTCATGCCAACAAGGGAATGGTGGTTGGAAGCTTTCAAGAATACCAGTTATTCTGATGGGAATGCAAATGAGTTGTTATTTCTTCGTTTGACTTTCAGTTGTAGTCTCATTTTTTTTCTAAAATGGGCATATATTACGTACTTATCAAAAAGTTTCAAAAAACTTGACTATTCAAATGACTCTGAGCATTTGGGGAGCAGGGCACTTACTTGTCTTGTTCACTGAAGTTTTTCTAGATGGTTTGTTAGAAAACAACAGAAAGTTAAGTACTCAAAAAATATTTGGGACTAAAGGAATGAATTGACCATCGCATATTTAGTGATGACGTGAGCTGCATTAGGTAATATATAATTTATAATTACCTATAAAGCAC